AAGTAGTTAAATATATTTTATAATAATATGTTTAATAACATCACATATATTATTATTAATACGAACGTGTGTTTTATATTAATAATGCTATAATTATAATAAAGTGACATAATTGACCTAAAATGTGATTTAAATTCAATATTTGTATATCTGGTAACAACATTTTTTAAATAATCTGTTATTTTTGGTACTATTTTCCTTTCATCTCTATTGTTATTACCTCTATTTTCGAATAAAATATTTTGTAATTCTTCATTATTATCATCACTATCTGAAGAAGAACTACTCGAAGATTAAAAAATGATGTTTTCGAGTAAAATATATTGTTCCATAATAATAATTAATGTAATTGCAACACTTTCATATGTTGTACATACGGTACAATACAATCCTAATGATCCCAGTGGGAGAAACGAAACGCAGCACTGGGAGTTTTCAATACTGCTAACTTTATCTTTTTTCCCAACACCGACCAAACATATTTTCGAACGCATTACTAGAGTAAAGTGCGCTCTCTTTATTTTCAAGGCAACCTGCTTACGTCGGCTATACCTTGGGGATGCCGAGAGCGAAGATCTGACTTATCGATTACGGAAGAATGAGGAAGCCGCGAAACTCTATAATAGGATAAATTGATTAAATGAGATGGGATTATTTGACATAAACGCGTGTGTAATAAGTATCTATTAGAATGGAATTTCGAAATTCTCTATTAATTCCATTAGTTGATCGATATCAATATCACCTGCGATATATTGATCTATGAATTCCAATAATATATCAAGAATTTGAGCTTGCTCATTGGTTGTTAGGGTGAAAAAACCTTTATCGTCGCGCGAAGGCTTCATTAAAGAGTCTGTAAATAATTCTCTATCTCACTTTCCGGTAACTGAGATTTTAATTGAGTTATTAGATCCGCTGGTTTTGAGCAAGAGCTTTCAATAGTATCTTTATATTTGATAATCTCCAAGTAATAGTTATAAAAAGAGTCAAATTCTACGTTTGTAGTAATTGCTTGACGAAATTTCCGCAAAGTAAAATTTTCCGGTAAATAAAAGAGAAATTTAGCTTTAAACTTTAGAGCGGATATAAAACTTTCCGGAAGGAAAACCCTTCTGTCCTTTGACGTTGTTTGAAATTCATATTTCGCATGCATATCATCTCAGCTCATTATTACCGAAAACCGAGATTTTTCAAATTAACGGACGTCGAGAATCTTCTCGACGTTTCTATTTATAGAGAAAAAACCGATCGTTCGAGTTATCTCGATTTTATTGCCACCACAAAAAACGTTTGTCTCTGCCGTTGACAATAACAGTGTCAACGGTCGCCGAAAACTGTACAGTTTACGGGCATGCGCGCCCATACGTCACGATCAGCTGATTACCAATCAGCTGATCTAAAAAGATCGCGCGCATGACAATTAACTCATTGTCAGCGGTAGACCTCATCAGCGGCCAATGACGCACGGCGCCCTGAGGTCACCGCCAAAATACAAAGTTAATTGGGCCACGTCGATACGGGCCCAAAAATCTGCCCGGTATATAACGAGCACCGCGCGAGGACACGAGGAAGTCTCGCACTTTTCGATAAACCGCACTTTTCGCTAAACCGCACTTTTCGCTTCGCTAACCGCAGTATCATTCGACCGCTTTTTTCACTTGGACTTTCCTCTCGATTTACTGGAACTGATTTCGGCTATACTTTTCGAATTCTGAAAATTATATATATATTTTGTGTAAAACTTTATTTTTCGTGTGGTGTTACAAAATAAAACTATTAAAAGTACAAAAAAATCATACGTGTCGTGGCTTGTTTTTTCTCAATTGTGCAGTGTCCGAGTCCAAGACCTTTTCTGTCGCGCCTGTCGTGTCGAATAACTCATTCGCGAACATTTTCTGGTCCTTCGAGCCGGAGACGCCATCCGCATCCGCAGTTCGTGAGTGACGTTCTCGTGACATTTAGTGCGCGAACCTGTGCAAAAAAAAAAACAGTTACGATGAGTGCCGATCTGAAGGCGTTGTTGGAGGCGCAGAACGACATCCACGGACGAATGTCTCGCTCCGTGGACAATCTGCGCAAGATGGGCGTCTCGAGCATCACCGCCGAAGCGATTCAGGCTCGCCTCCGCATTCTCGACACGCTGTGGACCAGATTCGAGACCCATCATGACCTCATTGTAGCGGCGCTGAAAGACAAATATCTTGAGAGTGAGTACGCAAAGAATGATTTTATCGATATCGCGGAAACTACCTACGTGACACAAAGGAGCACGCTGGTCGAATACGCGCACAAACTCAAGGGCGAGTCGTCCACCACGCCCAAGGTCGAGGCTCACCAAGAGCAGACGCTCAAGACCTCGCTGCCGCGAATTAAGCTCCAGTTGTTCTCCGGTGCATACAGCGATTGGCCCGCGTTTCGCGACATCTTCTTGTCCATCGTCGGGAGCAATACATCCATTTCCGACGTGGAAAAGCTCCACTATCTCCGTACGAGCTTACAGGGTCCTACGGAAAAACTAATTAGGTCCTTGCCGATTGTCGGGGGCAATTATGACAGGGCGTGTCAATTTTAAGTTCTCACTACGAGAACAAGCGAGAGCTCATTCGCGCCAACTTCGTTGCCTACACCGCCGTGCCTAAAATGAAGAACGCGACCGCTGACGAGTTGAACCGAATTTATATAACGCCGCCACGACTGCCATCAATGCTCAGGAGAGCATTGAAAGGCCCATCGGCACGCACGGTATGGACCTCTTCAATTACCTGCTCGTCGAGCGCTTTGACACACAGACTCGAATGCAGTGGGAGTCCTCGATCCGCGATTCCGTCGACCCGCCAAGCAACGACGTCCTCATGGACTTCATAGCGAAGCAGATCCTCACGCTGAACGCCGTGCAGCCAACCACTGCCGCGAAATCCGGAGACACTTCTCGGTCCGCAAGGTCGCACTTTGTAAAACGCGCATCCGGTTCGTCAACGTGCGCCGCCTGTAAAGAAAAGCATTCGATTATGCAATGCTCGACGTTCAAAGCCAAGACCGCTGCCGAGCGAAAAGGCCTAGTAGAAGCAAACAGATTGTGCTTCAACTGCCTCGGCAACCATTACCTGGCAAAATGTCAGTCGTCGAAAACTTGCTTCACTTGCAAGGCACGCCACCACACGCTTCTGCACGACGCATACTCGCAATCTGATGGTGCGATTTCCTTGTCCACCACACGCTTCGCATCAGACCGCAAGGCGATTCTTCTTGCCACCGCACGGGTCACTATCAAGGACCACGTGGGAAGACCGCACGACATCCGAGCACTGATCGACCAAGGATCAGAGGTCTCTCTAGTCTCAGAGGCCCTGGCACAACGATTGCGCCTGCCGCGGATCCGCTCCTCGATGACGATAGCCGGGATCGGAGGAGCCTCTGGCGCAACCCGCGGACGGCTGTCTTTGGCGCTCTCCTCGGCAATAACTGGAGCAACGCTCCCCGTCCAGGCGTACGTCCTGCCGCATCTCTCCTCGTACCAGGGGCCCATCGTGCGAGCCAGCGTCACCTGGCCCCACATACGCGGTCTCCCTCTGGCCGATCCGCAGTATTTAGACCGAGATTCAATCGAGATACTGCTCGGTGCGGATGTCTATTCCGCCATCCTTCAGGATGGACTCCGCAAGGGAAGCAAAGACGAGCCCATCGCGCAGAAGACCTCTCTCGGGTGGATCCTGTCGGGAGGACACCGAGCCACGACCCAAAGTAGCCATGCCGCTCACCAATGCACCATAGACCGCCAGCTGACCGACTTGGTGCAGCTCTTCTGGGAGCAGGAGAAGGAGAATACCGCTCCCGTCGCTCTTACCCCGGAGGAGAGAAGGTGCGAGGACATCTTCGTCCGCGAGCACTCACGCACCACCGCCGGACGTTACATTGTGAGGCTTCCCTTCTCCGGAGCTCCACCCTCTCTGTCAGGAACCCGTCGGCCGGCCGAGCGTTTGCTCCATGCCATGGAGCGCCGCTGCGACAAGGACGCTCGATTCGGCAACCTCTACCGCAGCTTCATGAAGGACTACGAAGACCTGCAACACATGGAAGCTGTAACCACATCATCACAACAAGAAGATACTGCAAGGTGCTACTTACCGCATCACGGAGTGTTGCGAGAAACGAGCACCACCACTAAGCTCAGAGTCGTGTTCAACGGCTCACAGCTCACGACCTCGGGCACCTCGCTCAACACCAGTCTGCTGACTGGTGCCAATCTCCTGCCAGTTCTCGCCGACGTACTCCTGCGCTGGCGCTGGCACCGTTATGTCTTCTTGGCGGACATTGAGAAAATGTACCGCCAAATTCTTGTTCATCCAGACGACCGCGATCATCAGCGGATACTTTGGCGGCACCGTGCCGTTGACGACATCCGCGAATACCGCTTGCGAACGGTCACGTATGGCTTGGCGTGCGCGCCATTCCTCGCCATACGGACCTTACACCAGCTCGACGACGAAGGTCACCGATTTCCACAGGGAGCTGTCGCGCTGCGCCGCGATACTTACGTGGACGACGTCGTGACCGGCGCGAGCACCCTCTCGGAGGCCACCGCAGCGCAACGGGAGCTCCGCAGCCTCTGCATGGCGGGCGGGTTTCCTCTTCGGAAATGGGCGGCCAACCACCTCAGCATCCTGGACGGCGTTCCGCACGAGCACCGGCTCACCCACTCACCTCACTCATGGTCTCATGAGAGCCACACAACACTCGGTCTTCACTGGCACCCGGCCGGTGACCACTTCACTTTTTCACAACCGACACGTCACTTCGACGAACTTACAAAACGGCGTGTCCTGTCCGAAACCGCACGAATGTTCGATCCCCTCGCCTGGATCACCCCGGTCACAATGCGGGCCAAGATCCTAATCCAGTCCGCCTAGCTCCAGAAGATCGACTGGGACACTCCACTTCCATCACCGGACACGCTCGCTTGGCGGAACCTGCTCTCGCAACTTCCGCGCCTCAACGAGATGAAGGTATCTCGTTGGCTCGGCAGCGACGGTCCGCACTCACACGTCGAACTACACGGATTCGCCGACGCATCGGAGCGAGGGTACGCTGCCGTGGTGTACCTCCGCTCCTCCACTGGAAGGGGCATCACACTCCACCTGCTGACGGGCAAGGTCGCGCCCGTGAAGCCCGTGTCCTTGCCGAGACTCGAGCTATGCGCGGCCGCCCTCTTGACGAACCTCGTCGTTCACACGCGCACTCTGCTAAGTTTGTCCTCACCTCCAGTCTTCCTTTGGTCGGACTCCAGGGTCACTCTTCACTGGATCCACGGACACGCCTCCCGCTGGAAGACCTACGTGGCCAACAGAGTGTCGCTGATCCAGGAACGGCTACCCGAGGCGCGGTGGCGACATGTGCCGGGCAAGGACAACCCAGCTGACTGCGCCTCCCGAGGAGTTCTGCCCAGCGACCTGGTCGGTCATCCTCTGTGGTGGACGGGACCATCCTGGCTTTTAGAGGACCAAACAAGGTGGCCGAACAACGACGGCGCCCTGCTCAACGCTGCTGTGCCGGAGCAAAGGGCCGTCGCCTCACTCTCGGCGGCTGTCAAGGACGTTTCTGAGTCGGCCTTCCTGCTCCGTTTCTCGTCATTGCACCGACTGCTCAGGGTGACAGCCTGGTGTCTTCGATGGCGACGGACCGGCACCCGGAGATCTCGCACCACCGCTGACGCCGCACTCTCACTCACGTCTTGCGAGATCGAAGACGCACTCCTTCACTGGATTCGCATCACACAGACTCTGCACTTCCTCGGCGAGATCACAGCACTCAGCAAAGGACGCGCCTTGCCAGCCAGAAGTCCTCTCACCAAGCTGAGTCCGTTCCTCGACGACAGCGGTGTAATGCGAGTCGGAGAGCGACTGAAGAACGCCATCCTGTCTCACGACGAGCGGCATCCCAGCATTATCCCACCGGAGTCAAGGTTGACTCACCTGATGGTGGACTCCTGCCACCGGCGGACCCTGCACGGAGGAGTGCAGCTCATCCTCGGGTTGCTTCGTCAACGAGTCTGGATCCCACGTGGTCGAGCAGTCGTCAAGCGGGCGATCCACCGATGCGTCACCTGCACGCGGTGGAGAGCCGCCGCACCGCAACCACTCATGGGCAATCTGCCCCGGGAACGAGTGACTCCTGCACGCCCGTTCCTGCGCACCGGGGTCGACTACGCCGGCCCTATCCTCATTCGGGCCAGCAAGGGACGAGGCCACAAGGCATCCAAGGGCTTCATCGCAGTTTTCGTCTGCCTCAGCACCAAGGCGGTCCATCTGGAGGCAGTCACGGACTACACGGCCGAGGCGTTCCTGGCTGCCTTCCGCCGCTTCGTTTCCCGGCGAGGCCTCTGCAGCGACGTCTTCTCCGACTGCGGCACGAACTTCGTCGGAGCTGACCGTGAGCTGCGGGAGCTGTTCCGCGCTTCCTCTTCCGACGGCCGTCGGATAATTCACGCAACAGCTTCCGACGGCGTGAGATGGAGGTTCAACCCCCCCCGCAGCGCCACACTTCGGCGGACTATGGGAGGCCGCCGTCAAATCCACCAAACACCACCTCCGAAGGGTCATTGGCGAAGCCACCCTCACTTACGAGGAAATGGCGACCCTCCTCACTCAGGTGGAGGCGTGCCTAAATTCGCGTCCGTTGCAGCCGCTGACGGACGATCCCGACGATCTGGCGGCGCTAACACCAGGGCACTTCATCATCGGCGCCCCCCTCGTGGCCGTTCCGGAGCCGTCACTCACGTCCGAGAAGGACACCGCTCTATCTCGGTGGCGGCTTCTTCAAAAAATGCGCGACCACTTTTGGGAACGGTGGACGCGCGAGTATCTCAGCACTTTGGCGTCACGACCAAAGTGGACCAAGGACGAAGCCGGCCCGAGCATCGGCGACCTGTGCCTGCTGCGATCGGAGATCACGCCTCCGACGAGATGGCCACTCGCCCGCATCACGGCACTGCACCCAGGAGACGACGGAATTACACGCGTCGTCACCGTCCGCACCGCATCTTCGGAGTTCACTCGGCCACTCGCGAAGATCATCGTCCTGCCAGGAGACAACGCCAGGGCAGACTCATCACAACCGGATTCGTGAGCCCGCACAATCACACGTTCTTATTTCGTTTCTTTTTTTTGCTGCGGTTTCTCATTAATCCGTTTCACCGCATCGCACTTCACTCGCGTCACTTATAACCTCACGTACGATCGGCGGATCGCGTTATTCATTGTTTTCTCGCGTTTTCTTTTCTTTCTTTTTTTTTCATTTTCACGCCGCGATTTCACGATCACTCATCACCGCACTCCACGTCTTGGAAATCAACCGCCAATACTTTTACACATTGTACACGACATCACGAGTATGTTTCTCATTATTCACCATCACAATGTTTCACCAAAACGCAATACTCACTCAAGTGAAAATTTTAATAGACTGAATCACACGTGTTGTCACATTCCATTCATCACGCGCGATTCACAATTCACAAATCGAACTATTCATGACATCTGTCAGTACTTACACGCACTCATTCATTTCGTCATGTACTGACGAGGCGGGCGGGATGTTTGAAATTCATATTTCGCATGCATATCATCTCAGCTCATTATTACCGAAAACCGAGATTTTTCAAATTAACGGACGTCGAGAATCTTCTCGACGTTTCTATTTATAGAGAAAAAACCGATCGTTCGAGTTATCTCGATTTTATTGCCACCACAAAAAACGTTTGTCTCTGCCGTTGACAATAACAGTGTCAACGGTCGCCGAAAACTGTACAGTTTACGGGCATGCGCGCCCATACGTCACGATCAGCTGATTACCAATCAGCTGATCTAAAAAGATCGCGCGCATGACAATTAACTCATTGTCAGCAGTAGACCTCATCAGCGGCCAATGACGCACGGCGCCCTGAGGTCACCGCCAAAATACAAAGTTAATTGGGCCACGTCGATACGGGCCCAAAAATCTGCCCGGTATATAACGAGCACCGCGCGAGGACACGAGGAAGTCTCGCACTTTTCGATAAACCGCACTTTTCGCTAAACCGCACTTTTCGCTTCGCTAACCGCAGTATCATTCGACCGCTTTTTTCACTTGGACTTTCCTCTCGATTTACTGGAACTGATTTCGGCTATACTTTTCGAATTCTAAAAATTATATATATATTTTGTGTAAAACTTTATTTTTCGTGTGGTGTTACAAAATAAAATTATTAAAAGTACAAAAAAATCATACGTGTCGTGGCTTGTTTTTTCTCAATTGTGCAGTGTCCGAGTTCAAGACCTTTTCTGTCGCGCCTATCGTGTCGAATAACTCATTCGCGAACAGACATAATTAGGGTTTGAGTTTGGTTTTAATATTTTATTTTGACTGAATCGAGAGATATCGCGATTTTCACGGGTTATTTTATCTGCTCTATGCTTTTTCTTTTTAGATTTCAATTGTGAATTCACTATTTAAGGAATTGATGTCAGTATTGATTGAGGAAATTGGTATGTATTTATTTTGTTATTGTTATTATTATTTGGATTAGCGCAAATTATTAAATTGTGCAATTAATTCTTATGATTTTAGTTCAACTGAAACGTCAATGAAGGAATAAATTATAAGGATATGGATGTCTCCGGCATGACAGTGGATGCCCGGAGACGACGGGACTTTAATGCGGAGTAACGTTATGATAACGGAGTTTGCATAAGGGTAAGGAAATTAGAATGCATCCGGCATGGCAGAGGATGCCCGGAAGCGACGGAAAAATGTGAGGGAGAGCAAGGTTTTCGGATGGCACCGCGAAGATGCTGTATCCCTGTATAAGAAAAGATGTTTGTGTTGGTAACAGTAGATTATATAAATCCAAGTATCGTTTAATACATTCCGTGAAGCGTCGATTAACGAATTAGTTTAGGAAGTTGGATGCCTCCGGCATGACAATGGATGCCCGGAGACGATGGAAATCTGGGGTCGGCTAGAGCTGATAATGAATTTTTTTGGAATAAAAATGGGAGAGTGTGGATGTCTCCGGCATGACAGAGGATGTCTGGAGAGATCCTAAGGGAAAGGGGCACCCGATGCTTAACGGATAAGAGCTATATTAGAGATTTTGATTAATAATTATCTGGACGCTTGCCAGAATAAAATGATAAGTTATTGCAACCTTTATGCTGAGTAGGAAAGGAATACTATCAGCGGCGTGCTAGTGCTTGACAGTATTGTTATTTATTTAATTCTTGATATCATATTTCAGAAAATGTGCTGAATGCAAGGGAGGTGAATATTATTTCACGAACAATTGAGTTTGAAAACGCGAGAATAAAATAAGGGTGTAAAGGAATCTGGTACTTACCACTCAGAGGTGGATTTCTGCTGATCTTGGTCGCCTTCGTATACGCAAAGTCTGGGCTTCTCCAAAAATTGACACAGTAAATATGCACAATTATAATTCTTTTATTTGGATTTGACCGAATGATATAGCAAATTGATATAAAAGTAATAGTTTATAATGATTACGAATAACAAGAATATAAAAGTAATAGCGACGAAGTGACACTGACAAAAGCGACTAACAGCAAGTCTTTTCTACTGACTGATTATTATTACTGCTCGCTCGCGCCCGAAATCCGGGTTTATATACTGGTAATTCCTTTGTTCCTTGCATGATCTTTCGCTATAGGAATCCTCGAGTAAGGTGATCTTTTCATCGGACCACGTCGTACTCGGAAGCACCGCCGAATTTCTTATCAATTGTTTTGACATAGATATCTTTTTAATAGAAACGCAGCAGTGATCAAAGAGTAATGCGTAAATTTCATCGAAGGTGTCGGTCGACATCTCTAAGAAATCAATGCTCGATATATTTATGACTTCCTCTTTGATCACCTCACGCAGAAGCTATGCGCTCTTAATTTTAATATTAATATCTATCGCTATCGGTATTAGGATTATAGAATTATTATATATATGTATAACTTCCCTTATATTTTAGAAAAGATTTAGAAATATAGCTGAATTTAGGTAGAATAATCGAATTTAAATTACAGCATATAAGGGAAGTTATTCACTGGTCGTGAATTCATAATAAATTTTAAATAAAGCATTTCAAAGAGTTGAAATAATTTGGTAGTTATTTATTTAAAATTAATCCAATAGTTCCATTGAAATACGTTATTTACTTAAATTATTTATTTCGGTCGCATTTATTTAAAATCTAAATTTTAAATTTAACATATATAAAAAGTCATTATACAGGGTGGGGAAAAAGTATGGAAGCAAACAATTATTTCCGAAACTATTCATTTTTCGACAAAATGTCTTAGACATAATTTTTATGGTATGAAAAGATGTATTATGTGGCATAGACGGCATGACCTTGAAATGACCCTTACGAGCTGCATACAAATAACGTAAAAAATTTCAAATGGAACTCGTCAATTTTTGTTACAGATTCTTGTAGCTGATGTGGAAACGTTTACAAAACACTGCATATGAGCCCCATTCCCTTAAAAACACTCCCAGTTACGAAACAATTGTGATACAAACAATTTGTATGCACATTGACATTGCTTACTGAGATTGGATGAATCGCACTTATCTTACCTTAACTGGTTGGATGAATCGCACTTATCTTGTCTTAACTGGTTGGATGAATCGCACTTATCTTACCTTAACTGGTTGGATGAATCGCACTTATCTTGCCTTAACTGGTTGGATGAATCGCACTTATCTTGCCTTAACAGGTTGGATGAATCGCACTTATCTTACCTTAACTAGTTGGATGAATCACGCAATCTCTTTCCTTGAGTATGGTTCGATGTACGCCTTAACTGATTCTACGAACTTCGCGTGTCTTTCGTATCGGCAGAAATGATCGAAGCGGGTTATTCTCCATTTGTTGCAGTAATCGCTACTGTTGTACTGATCTCTCATAATGACGTTCAGTCGCGTTACACACATTCATGTAATCACACGTACGCTGTCTATTTTCAATTTCGTCGATACGAATTATCACAATTGTTTCGTAACTGGGAGTGTTTTTAAGGGAATGGGGCTCATATGCAGTGTTTTGTAAACGTTTCGACATCAGCTACAAGAATCTGTAACAAAAACTGACGAGTTCCATTTGAAATTTTTTACGTTATTTGTATGCAGCTCGTAAGGGTCATTTCAAGGTCATGCCACATAATACATCTTTTCATACCATAAAAATTATGTCTAAGACATTTTGTCGAAAAATGAATAATTTCGGAAATAATTGTTTGCTTCCATACTTTTTCCCCACCCTGTATATATAAATATATATATATATATATATATATATATATATATACAGGGTGGGGAAAATGTATATATATATGTGTTGTATATATATATATATATATAGGTATATATACAGTGACCGGCAAAAATAAAAAGCCACCTTAACTATAAAACTGATTTGATGCTAAAAGGTAAAAAAAATTTATTATAAAGTTTTTTATAACTAAAACTGAAAATTTATTAAGTAATTTAATGTTTTTAATTAAAAACAAATCATTTTTTATTTAATACTGTATTTATTTCTATATAATCATTTATTTAAGAGTGACAAAATAAAAAAGCCAGTTAAGGTAACATAGTATTACGATTTAAAAAAACAACAATATTATTTTAATTAATAATTAATATGATTTCCTTTAGCCTTAATTACTTTTTGCAGTCTTTTTGGTATACTTTCAATTAAATTTTTTAAATGTTGTGGATCCAAATTCTCCCAGGCTAGTTGTAATGCTTCAAAATAAGAATTCTTGTTAGTTACTCCGCTTTTATTAATCCTATTATCCAAAATTGCCCACAGATTTTCGATAGGGTTCAAATCTGGAGATTGCGGAGGCCATTCAAGTTGTTTAATTCGGCAGGAACGAAAAAAAGCTTGACTTTTCTTTGCTGTGTGTTTCGGGCCATTATCTTGTTGGAAAATAAAATTATCTTCTAGTCCGAGTTTCAACAAACACTCCTCCAAATTTTCATTTATTATATCAATGTAGACATCTGCTGTCATAATTCCGTTAATTTTGACAAGATTTCCCACTCCTGCCCATGAGAAACATCCCCAGACTAAA